GCCCGCGGGGAGGAGGCCGGCGGCAGGGCGAGGCACACACGCTGCCGACCCCGGGCATCGCTCCCGGGCTGGGGCCGAGTCCAGCGGGACCCCCCCGCCCCTCAGACAGGGCCACGCGGGGCCTGTGGCCACGCTGGAGCCGCTGCGGGGACCAGCACCCTGCCACCTGCAGCCCCCTCCAGCCGGGGCGATGGCAGCACCCGCTGCCTGTTCCAGCCAGGCCCCACCTCGGGCACCCGCAGCCTGCTCACGGCGGGCATCTCCCACTGCCCGGCCGGACACAGGCCCCTGGCTCCCCACGTCTCTGGCAGCTGCCCCGCGCTGCGGCTCCCCTCACGTCACCGCCCGCGGCCGCTCCGCCTTGCCAACCCGGAGAGACCCGTGCCCCTGCCAGCCAGCCAGCCTGTGCTGGCTCTGGCTGTGCCCACTGCTGCGTGCACGCGCTGCATCGGCCGTGTGCCGCTCCTGGGGAAACAACCGCCCCCCTCCTGGCCCTCTCCCCACCCGGGTCTGCAACGCGGTGCCTCCTCCTGCTGCTGCCCCTGCCTGGCCGTGCCAGGAGCCCCACAGCCGAGCTGCTCAGCGCTCCCGACTGCCACCACGCCAGGACACGTCCCCGCCGAGCTGCAGCGCTCCCGCGCCGCTGGCCTCCCCCCGCCAGGCCGGGTGTCCTGCCAGCTCTGCCACCTCTCCTGGTCACCAGCCACGCTTGGAGGAGGTGTGGCACTCGGGGCTGACATCCTTCTGCTCGCCCGTGTGCCTTTCTGGTCAGCCCAGAGCACGAGTGACCGACGCGGGGCTCTGCCTCCCGGATGGCAGCGGGCACTGCGGGCCCCGCCGAGCCCTGCAGCCCAGGCTTACGCCCTGCCCCAGGACCCGCCTGCCCTCTGCCCGGCCCCACCTCTGGCTTCTCAATTCGAACAGCCAGGCAGACGTGCCAGAGGCACCCCAGGAAGGCAGCCGGAGGAATTCTGCCCTTCTGAACCTGAACACCGAGCACCCAGCTATGCTAACGCACGATACGAATACAGGCGGATTGCAGCAAGATCTTCCTTCTCCCTGGTAAGCCATTAACCTTTCAGATGACAGCCTTGCAAACTAAATGACTGAACGATTCCCAGGGTCAGTGTGAATCTACATTTTCAAAACCTGACATCAACAAGTAAAAGTTGTGACTGAATCCTGGTCTCTCCGAGAGGAAGATTAAATGCCTGTGACACATCATCTGCAATCAGAGTGCTCCATTTCCCAAAGTATCCGTCACAGATTGATAACATCCACGCAAAAAGTTAAGTGCAATTATGTCTGTCACTGTAAAGCACACTTCAGCAGCACTGACTGACATCTTGCTTGCAGCTGACAAATTGTGAGAGGGCTGTTTGAATGGCGGTGGTAGAGACTCCCGCAGCACCTCGGCGAGGGCTGGGAAACGCGCTCCCGAAGCACCGCGGCCACACGGGCTCCCGAAGCACCGCGGCTGTGACGGGAGCCGTCGCGTAGGCAGCCGCGAGGCGAAATGGTTCGAGGCTGGCTCTCTGTACACTCACAGAAGTCAGAGACTCGCTCTCAGAGGGCTGGAACTGGACTAAAGAGGAGAACCTCAGACACGACTCCCCCTCTAGCCCAGGCTGACAGAGCTTGAGCCCCAGCACTGCTCAAATGCTAGTGACATGTACTTTTCTCCAAGTCCCCAGCCCACGCACTGGCAGTCGCCGATCCACAGGCTGGGTGAAGCAAAAGTGTGCAAAGGGCCAGGCGAGTTCCCTCTCAGTGGCACCTCTTTTGGGGGAGCATGACCTTCGTGTTCCGCAAAGCGTCACCACGCAGCACCGGAGAGCGCACACCTTGAACACAGAGCAAAGGCACTGAGAAAGTCACATTAAACTCCCACTGGTGACTCAAGTCAACAAAAGCAGTTCTTTAGTAGCAGCCTTCTAGGATGGGAAACTGCAAGTGCATTTCTCCAGGCTGCCATTAGTGCCAAGAAGCTGTCGCAGAATTTGGAGAGAAAAGACAGTAAAGCAGCTTGATGCCTTGCACAATGGCACGGTTGTGCTCCACAGCACAGCATGCCATCCTCACTGGGAAGCGCAAGGGCTGCCGTTAGAGCCCATTAAGCCAGATGCCTGCAGTAGGAAACACCGAGGAGGAGAAATGGCTGAAAAATAACATGTGCAGTCCAGCACGAATATCAAACAAAGCCTCCCCTTGTGCAGTTCTGACTGCGAGCCGTAACCCCGCGACACAAGCAGTGGAAGCAGCACTGCTGACGTGCAGCAAGCTGTGGAGGTCAAACCTCCGACACATGACAAAACTCTGATGTGCCGCCATCCACCGCCACCAGGAACTTTACATCATGGATCAGAGGAGGAAAGATGGCTGGTGCAGAAATAAACATCTCCCACAGTAAAAAGTCCTTCCGTTTAGGAAGGTTTTGCTGTGCAGAAGTGTGTTTTACTGGTTTAGTTTATATCCAGTGTTAGCAATTGTTCTGAAGCACCCAAGCATACCCTCTTGATTTAAAATTATTTCATAATGCCAGACTGCAACTGAGGAGAATATCTGACCAGCCTAACAGCAGAATCTCCACAGTGCTCTCTATCTGGCACTGCTCACCAATTTTCACTTAGCACTCACGGCAGCATCAGAGTAACTCGCGGCTGTTCCTGTCAGGATATATCTACATGGAATAAAACAGCAAACTGGCTACCCGTGTAATCTCATCTCTCTATGGTGACGTAAAAATAAGAGGTTACTTGTGACTACAATCTTCCACGAACATTAAGTGTTGAGTAACTTACCACATTGCTGATAAAGTATTAGAAAAGGCTTTCAAGTAGTATGTGCTCCCCATAATAATGAAATATTTGCAGGATGTACCTTTATATACATTTCTATTTCTTAACAAATATATTGGATAATAAATAATCAGAGTAAAAAAAACAGACATGAAAGATGCTTTGAATGATCAGGCTGGTGGTGTAAAAGTTACCTGTAAATCACACACAGGGCATGAGAGTAGAGCTGGCTACAGACAGGTGGTTTTTACTAGGAGGCATTAATGTAACGTTCAATTATTCCACTGCATACTGGCTGTTTTAACTCAGCCAAATTAGAATACATTTTATATTGACTATTTTGACATTTGCTTTATTTGGCAAGTAAAACAAAACTGATCCAATTTCCTTGCAGCCATTGTAAACCATAAACTGTACAACAAGAGGTTATAAAATATATAAGCCTTGTAAACACTTCTTTTCAGACTGTCGCCGATGCTCTGAGCTCTAATTTTGGCCCTGTTCCCAACAGCTCTGACGCTGCTCTGCAGCCTTCCCTGCTCAGCCATAAAGTGACCCTTCCACACTTAGTGATTAAGGACTGCCATTGACATTCTCTTGCTATGATAATTTTTTCTCTTTATTGTGGAAATCTGCCCAGGCAGGAATTTCTTGCAGAGAGAAAATGAAGATCTGTGCTCTAAAATCAAGACATCTTTTTCTCTGATCTTGCACGGCCTGAGCTAGCGTGTAGCTTATGTCCAGCAGAGCTTCAAAACAACGTATCAGCTCCCGCTGGGACGGGTTGAAACCTCCAGAAGACTGCTGGCTTTTCATCTCTTGCCTCCATCTCTGTTTGAGAAGCAAGACAGCATCTCTGCCTGAGCACACCTGACAGTACAGGACAGCAAGCAGTGTGCCACAGCATGGCAGGAGACCAAGCAAAACTCTCAGTGAAAGAAACGCCCAAATGCTTTGGAGAGCTCAGAGCGCCACTGCAAGACAGTAGATTTGAGTGTGGGTCATGGGTGAAGGCTCAAATGTACAGACCTGCCTTAAAAAGATACCCGATAGACTTTTCAGGAACAGTTTACAGCAGTTTAAAAGCGTCACTCTCTGAAATGACCTGTAAATCAAGACTCTGAAGGACATGAATATTCTCCACCCATATGATACAATGACCTTTGAATACAAACTGATCCCCCTGGGATTGTCTTCCGCTGTCGCCTTCGAAATGCTAGCTCTCAACAGTTATTGTAATACTGTAAGTGTATCTGCAGTATGCCGAATGCCTACTGCAAAAATACGTGTTCACTTAATTAAGCAAAAGCCCAACGGGACCCATAGAGAACATGCTGTCTCCTGGCAATAGCCTGGCCTGGAGTTCAGTCCACGAGCCTCATCAGCAGGAGCCCATCTCACACTGGATTGCTGGGCTTTCATGGCAAATGCCAGGAGTATTAAAGCACTCAGATTAACCTCTGTCTGGGTTGGTTTGTTGCTTAACAACACTTCGTTTTGTTCAGAGAAATCCAGGAAGCAAGCTGTCAATACAGCTACTGTTACACGCAAGCCTACACACAAGTGCATACAGTGATACACACACACAAACATTGTCCAGGACACAGGGAGAACAACCCAGGCAGACACTACGCCAGCCTGTGCCCAGAAGCGCTGCTCCTGCCAGTCACTGCGGGCTGAGCAGTCCGCTCTGCACGCTCGGTGTCACCTGCAAGACTGGGGCGCAGTAGCTGGGTTCAAGAAAAGAAAAAAAAGGGCAGCACTTCAACCTGTGAGTGGATTGATTCTGGAAATGAGCAAAACTTGTCTCCCTGTGCACTAAAATCTGTATGAACATTTCTCCCTCCCTTTGGTCAAGGAGGGCAACCAGCTTGGCTACAGTTCTGGCCCACCCTCCAGGGGCGACCCACACATACTTCTTGGAAACTGCAACATCCCACACAGTTTAAAGCAAAGAAAAGGTGTAGCTTGCTGTTTCCCCTCCTCTGCAGACTTCTTTCTTCTGACTTCTTCACCTGTATGTCTTTATACAATGACAGCCAAAGGAGCTTCCAGTAGGCAAATACCTGAGTGACACATTCCCTCATTATCAGATCATGCCACGTAATCATTCATACTGACGTGGTACCCTGGTCTTGATGCCGCCAGGCAAGGTGAGTAACACGGCATCAAGCAGAAGGGGCTGGAAAGCAGCAAGCTTACCGTGGCAGGTTAGGAGCTGGTGCTGAAGACGGTACTTGGGACGGAGGCGTCGCAGGCTGTGAAGATTCATGGTTGCGTGGAACTCTGCCCATCCGGTACCAAATGCCCATGTTGTTCAACTCCCTGTGTAATCAACACAGAAGACATTAATGCTGCAAGCAAATGCTGCACATGTGCACAAGCAGCAAGCACTGATGCGTTTCACAAACACCTTGGTTATGGAGAATCAGAGTAATTGGAAAAAAAAAAAAAGGGGCGTTAGTTAATTCCTACATTAAACTCAGTAACAGTTGTTCTTACGTAGAGTTTTCTAAGGACAAGCTTCAGCTCTTACAAACTACTACTTAGTAATTACAGGACAACAGAGTGCTTAGCCTTAGTACAACTGAATTTATGACGACAGCTTCTGGAGCGAGGGGTACTTACCCTATGAATGTGTACTGGGGAGGGGCTTGTTTAGATCTACCCAGGATTCGGATATCACAGATTGCTGCCTCGGTAGAATCTCGAGGGATGAATTTGATGCACAGCCTCTTCTTTCTGAAAACTATTTCTTCTGCAGAAACAACACAGAACACAGGGTGGGTTTTATGCAAGATTAGGGTATAAATGTTATTTATTGTCTTTCCAGATATTAGGCAGATAATTATGGCAGGAACTGGAGCCAAAGAACAGATATATGTCAGCAAATCAGACAATGCAGTGACATTCATTGACTGGAGAAATTTTCTATCAGGAGCTCTCTGTACACTGTGTGAGATTTGTTATTAGGCACTGTGATAAACCAATACTCCCTACTACCCTCTGCAGAGAAGATAAGACATCACATATGCCACAGAGCACCGTACTGCAGAACAGAAATGGCAAGTGATTTTTCCACTCCCACATGCTTCTTACATTTGCTTTCTCTTTCCAAGGTAACGTTTGCCTTACCGGCCTGAACAGTCGCATCTAAATATTCCTCCCACAAGCACCACCTCCAGGAACATACCTGGAAGCTGCTGACACAACCCGTCAATTTATTCTGCCAAGTGCTTCCAAACAGCCAACCAAACCGAGAGGAGGAGCAGGCAGAAAAACAGACTGCCACGCACTGTGGCTAACAGTAAAAGCTGCCTGCCCGGACCTCACGCATCCCGAGTGCTAATGACCTCCCCTGCCTCAGTCAGGAAACACTGAAACGATAGTCCCGCCGTGTCTGCCCTGCTATCTTTGTAGGGATAAGCCAGATTTACAAAGCCGTAATTGCTAGGACCTCCTATGGGGCAACCATGGTGCACTGACCTGTGTGCAGAGGGTGGAGGAATCTGCCGCGCGGCCCTCTCCTGCTGTGCATCACAGAGCAATTTCACTTGTTTCCATGTTATCCATCAAGAAAAACTCAAGCCTATCGGAGTTCAGGCTTATCAGTATAATGAATTCGTGTATATGCATGCTGTCTGTCTGCACGCAGGCACAATCCACATCCAGCCACGGGTCAGCCGCACGACAGCGGGTGGCACTGGCAGAGAGACCTGCAGTGCCTGGAGACCATTGCTCTACCTCACTCTAAAGAGTCCGCGAGAGTCAGTGTGAGCAAGGCGAGGTTTCTGTTTGAGAATGCAGGCACTTGAAAGACATGACAGAAGTCTATTGATAAACTGAAAATCTAAAGTGCAGACACCGAATGAAAACCTGGGGAAAAAAACAACTACAAACAAGTGCCTGCAAAATAAAAACCTTCAGTTTAATATGAATAAATATCCTCCAGCTTAAAAATACGCTCTCACTTCAACAGATGGCAAGCAGCCCTGTCTCTACAGGCTCCTCCTGTTTTGTAATCCGCACCTTGGAAAAAGCAATCCATCCCGGCCTCTGAAATTTGCTGTCGCACCAGCACCAATAAACGTGCAGACAGTGCGAGGTATGTCACTACACAGCATCTGTGCAGTTACAGTGCTGCTTTTTAGAGATGTTAAATACCTGTATCCCTGAAGTCTAGTCTTGTGCTTTGGGAAACTAGGGCTTTTATTTGAAGTGCCTAAAACTGATTTTAGGAGCTCAGGGTTTAAGGCTTCCACATCTGAAAATTTTCTCAGAATCTAGTAAGGAGTACTGTCTTTAATATAGTTACTACAAGTCAGCTGTCAGTTAGAGAAGAGCACGGAAACACGTACAACCACAGGTTTAACTCTGAACGAAATCAGTGCTTCTTATTTGACTTTCACAGTAAGTACAAAGCTGACTATTTGTCTTTGGTCTTTTCCACACTTGGCTAGGGTCTGCAGTCTGTAGCAAACTTGCTTTAGGAACTGGATTCATTAATGACACATGCTTAATCAGAGTTAATTTTAAGTAAACATATTACAAATAGTCTATTTAAATGTGTTCATTCATGCTAATGGAGGCAGGGATATGCACCACTTTGTTAATACAGACAGTGCCTCTGCTTTAAAGATTGCATGGGTTGCAATCCAATGCATTTTAAGTTACAAAGTCCCCTTCCACCTTTCCACCAGGACTTTCACAAAAATTACAGCAGCACACAAGTGTCCAGCACTTCCAAGTGCAAGCAGGGTAAGCCGACAACTCCCCCCCGCGCCACATGTGCCCAGGAATTCTCCAGGGAGAGGAGGTGACCCAGGGGAAGGGAAACAGGCAGCAGGGCCTTTCCCTTCTCCGCCGCGGGTTCAAATCAGAACCAGGTCAGCGGTGACTGAAAAACCATCCCCATCTGCTGCAGACCCAGATGAATTATTCCCTGCAGAGCAGGCTCACGTAACTCCTTTCTACTCACAGCTAGGCTGATCTCATTCCTGGCGAGCACGGGTACCAGCCCTGCTCTCGAGCAGTAGCTGCATGCTCAGCACCGGCGCGCCGTGCCCCGCGGCCCTTCCGCGCTCGGCTCCCGTGGGGCTGGTCCCCAGCCTCCGCCGCACCGCGAGCCCACAGCACTTGGTGCCTGCTGCGGGGCAGAGAGCGGCGACCAGACGGGGCTCCAGCTGCCGCTGCCAAGAGTCTCGGGGGATCCGAATACACTGCTTGGGAACTGCTGGCTTAAACGTTGCAGCAGAGCTATTTCTGCCTTGCAGCCCTGAGGACGGTATTTTCCCTGGACATTCCACTTGTGCCTTCTCTCAGCGAGCAAAGATAGCCCACCATCCGCGGCGCTGCCTGCCAGGCCGTGGGCCTCCCTTTGTTCGTGGCGGGAGGTGTAAAGCTGGCATGTGTGAACCCAGCAGCACAGGCACGCGCCCTTCCTTTCGGTATCCACTCGTGGACATCCCTCAGCACAGTAGCTCTGATCCTGCTAGGCCCCGTCCACCCTTCCAAAACGGAAAGATAAACTACTCCCTCCTGCCCCGGAGCTGTGCGGCTCTAGCAGACGAGCTGGTGAGTCAGGCAGCAGTACCAGAAAGCCTGAAGAGTACAGGAAAACCGAAGGTTGCTTCATTGCAGACCAGAGCTGCCCCCAAACACACACAGGCAGACCTGGAGAGCAGCAGTGCTGAGGGTGTCCCTCTGCCCAGGACACTGCCTGCACCCCCCGACCACAGACACCAGCGGAGTGGCTGCTCCCAGGGCACGAGACTGAAGAACAGACGCCAACTTACGTGTATCGATGGTCTCCTGGATGGGGATGAAGCCCAGGGGTAACGTGTCCTTGATATCAATGAGCTTCATATCAACCAAGACATTGCCTAAGTGACTCTTTGGAGAGAGAAAAGAAACAGTTGACTATGACAACGTCATCAAATTCAAACTCAGCTTTTCTCATCTGCTGAACCCCAAGATGCCTTGTCATTGTATCTGACCACCAACTTTAAAAATGATGAGAAGATGCCAAGCCAACACTTGCAACTGTCCCCTTGACAGGAAGCACGTAACAACTGACTAGGAGATACCGGGCAACTTTCAGCATTTACAGATTCTTACACCTCATCCACTGCCATACTTCTGGATCCTTGGAAACACAACCAAATTCCTCCCTTTGGAAACACGGCAGCTCAAAGTATTACCTTCACTAACTCATCCATTGAGCAGGTCACTTTAGTTCTCACACACTCTACGTCTACAATAGCAACATGACATTCCCGTGACAGTGACAGCAGAAAGCATTACGGGAAGATGGTTCATGCAGACACAGCCAAAGTTATTACATGCATTAGCTAATTAGTACTGAATAGACATGGTTCTAGCTCCAAACACAGGCACACTCCAGAAGAGCAGGCCATTTGGAACGAAGAACTTCACTTGGAGTCCATATGAATTCTGAACTGATGCCTCGTCCTATTAATCAAGGCTTGAAGAGCTCAAAGCACAATTCAGAATGACAGCCTCTACAATTGTTTAGGGGCCAGATTTTCTTTGCAGTTCTCGTTAAAGCCGGCATTGCTGCCAATAATCTGGATTCACGTATGGAAGAAAACACATTTTAGTTACTATACAGCCTTTATAAACAGAAATGCAATACAGAACAATTAAAATTTCATCCTAAGCCATCAAACCATGTCAGTGTGTTTTATTGTTACTGGTTGCTAAGTGCCTCCTTTAGTTTTTATCTGGCAGAGTATTTCAGGAAAACCTCTACTCCCTGATTATTACACTGAACTATTTTAAAACATATTTAAATTTGCAGCCTCTGACGTAAGGGTGGGGATCAGGTCTGAGTTTATTTTTTGGAGGTTCTGCATTTCATGGTCAAGTCCTCACCAGGAGGGCCACCATGCCTGCAGCCCCGTCCCACCACACACGTGTGTGGCACACGTCCTTTGCTCACGCAAAGTGGCCAAGACCAGGCAGCCCCCACGCGCCTCTGTCCCCTCTTTGGCCAGAGCATCTGCGAGCGAGCAATGTTGGATGCTGTGAAGCCTGAATGCATCAGTTAACATGGTCCTGGCACAGCAAACGGTAGATGAAGTGGTCACTGCTCATTCATCTTTCATGTTTTATTTATCCAAACTGTCTGGCTGTGTTACATCAGCGTGCAACTTTCAGCTGAACCAACAATCATTCCTCCATCAACAGCAGACAAGTAGGAGAGATGACTCTGGTGAGGTCGTTAGCTGCTGAAACACTGGGAGCCAGCACTGATGCTCTGCCATGTACACAGGAGAAAAGGGCACAAGGCCTCCCTGTTTGTGAGATGCACCGTTTGGGGCCTCCTCACCACGACACTCAAGTACCAGCAATGTCCTCATAATCTGTCACGTACTATAAGCTGTTGAGAATGAGGAGTCTGACAGAGAGACAGTACAGACTGTCTCCGTTATAAACCAGGTATCTGAGGTGCATTAACCCTGCTAACTACAGTGTGTTCTTCAGGACAAATAGTTCCCAGTGTTTTGTTAAAAACAAAAAACCCCACAGCAGTAAAACTTCCAATCCAAAGTGCAGTAACGCATCAACATCCAGGTGAGAGGAGCCTCTCCCTCCCGGATGAGAGCTCTAGGTCACTGCTGCTGGGGAGGACCGGTGCCTTTAATCCTCGGAGGTTCCCAGCTGGGCAGCACATCATGCCCGTGTGCTGGAGGGGACTGAGAGGGGACGGAAATCTCTTGCTGGGCTATCCGGGGACAAGGGTGCTGCTCCCTGCACAAGGGGCAAAGGCTGGTCCCCCACCAGTCCGGTCCCCTCCTCCTCCCAGCCCGTCAGCCCGCTTCCAGCCGCCCTGCAGCCGGGGGACCCAGAGCGCTGATCAGCTCTGTGCGCTTCCCGGGCGCTGGCAGACCGGTACCGGCGTCCACCAGCCTGGCCTCAGCCCCAGAGAAAGGCCCCGCGCACACGCGGCGCCCGTGGCCTCAAGCAGCACGGGCGCACGCTCCGTCGAGCGCGGGCGGGACGCGGCTGACCGGCCCCGGGAAATCCACCCTCTGCGAGGAGAAGGCGCTGCCGCCCAGGGGGCACGGCCGCGGTGGGGCAGGGCAGCACCGGCCCCCGCCAGCACCCCGACACGGGCAGCCCAGGAGCAGCCAGAAGCGCCCGCGCGTCCGATGCCGCCGGCGCCGGGCTCGAGCCAGCCCCCGCCTGGCACACCAGGCTGCTGGGCAGCCGGGCCGGCCGCCCTCCTCCCACGCGCCCTTTAATTCACCCCCCGCCAATATGAGGAGCACACTCCCAAACCCTGCTGAGCAGAGGATCCTGCCAAAAGCCCAACAGGCACAGACTGAGGGTAGTTACACTGTCTCTGGTAGTAGCCAGCAGTTACTACTATCCTGTAATTATTTCTGACAACCTCACATTTAAGGTAGCCACAGATAAACTTAATACTCAAATCGTCACAAATCTTTCTGTTTAACATCCTCCCTGCCTATTCTGGGACTATTATCCCTGCTGCTGCAGGTACTCCAGGATGAAAAGCACAATTACTGTCCATCCACTCCAAGAAGCGGTATTTCCCATAGCTCTGGAGCTTTTTTTTTTTAATCTAGAGGCAGGCAGGGAAGCGGCTGGAACAAAGGTCAAATGCTGGAAACTGGCAGCCCCCAGCTTTCCTGCCAGGGCCCAGCATCAGCCTCTGAAGTCGCAGTCGCTTTTCTGTTCCCGTCACTGGCGAAAGCACGATTACAAAATGGTATCTCCATACCCTGACAACTGAGTCACTATGAATATCCAAAGCAGGACGAAAAGCAGGATTACCCACTAGATGGAGTGCATTCATTGTAGAATTAAATAGTTCCTCCAGAAAAGAGGAAGTTTTCACACTAGCCTCAACCAAAAACCCAGTAGAAGGCATCAGGCTCCCACTGCACATGGTCTGCTCTCCTTCACGGAAGATGTGGGCAGACAACTGCCACTAATCAGAAATTAACTTATGCTTAATAGCCACACTAGAAGATTACAATATGGTAGCATATGCACAACTTGGGCAAATTTTCAAGAATCCGTACCAAAAACAACAAAGAAAGAAAAGCTAATCCTGCAGGAAAATAACTATGATGCCCTGGATGCAGAAACTAACATTTCCTTCATCAATACTACCTGCAACATTTGCTTTTCTAGGTAATTAAGCTAGAAATTCATCAGGATCATGAGCGTGCAGCGCCCACTGCTACAGCAGGAAACGCTAGCGTGAGGGGGCTGCTGAAATGCAAGCATTCCCTTTTCTGCTGCTTTTATTGCAGATTTTGCCAGCAATTTCTTTCCATGAATAACAGACAAAATGCAAATATCTAGCCTTTGCAATTTGCCTCCTGACTCACCCAAACTCAGTGAAATGCCTGCTTGAATTATAATTGCCTCTATAAAATGAATCATCTTATGGGTAAGAGCATATCAGGTACAGATGCAAATCATGCAGACACTCAAATGGACTTACATTCTCTTTTGAAAACGATCTTGTGAAGCACAGGTATCGTGTGACCTTGGATTTAAATAAGCCATCTTTCCAGAGGTCAGCATCCAAGCCATCTGCTGTTTGTGCAACCTGGAAAGAAGAGACAGAGGGAGAGCAGAGACATGTGAGCCAAGATAAAGTTAATATATGTGCAGTACTTCTTCCTCAGACCTCTTCTAATTAACGGTAGCCTGAACTCTCACAGCATCTCATTAGTTTCTTCGCAAGGTGCAGTGCAAAGAACTTCCAAGAGGAGGTATAAAAAGAAGTTCTAAAAATGCTGTCTCTTGGGGGTCCATTGATTAAAGATGCTCTGACAAAGGCTATTCTAATGAGGAAACAGCAACTTTGGTTACAGTCTCCAAACAATAGTTTGGAAAAGTCAGCATATCGAGGCTCTCATTACCACCCTACACGCAGGGGCACGCTGGGGCAAGCTGTGAGGAGGGGTCTGTGTAAACAAAGCACAGAAACTGCCCAACCTGAGCATTATTTTTTACAGAAAATACATTGAGGAATACTGGTTCCCAGGCCAAAAAGCTGCTTCCAGCAGCTGGGAAAAGCCCTGCTCACTCGTGGACTTTAGCAGTAGTGCCACACGTGAGGACGTACCCTGCAAACGTCCCTCTCTGGGGCAGCCCTGCACCCAGGCAAATCAGCAGCACACACCGCAGAGAGGGCAAAGGAAACAGAGCCCGGGCCCTGCACTGAGGAGACAGAGGCACGTGCAGGAAGAGGAGGTGTCGCGGTTTGAACTGTTCTAGCTGCTAAGAACAATTAACTCTATCCCAGCTGAAACCAGGACAGCACGGCAGGAGCCCTGACCCTTCAGCCAATTCAAGGAGCGGGCACAAGGCAGCACTGCGCCCAGGGCAAGGGCTCTGCTCTGTCAGCACCTGGGCACTCGCCCTGCACGGTGCAAGCTGGTAGGAGCCCCTGACCCCAAAAGGTTTGTTGTCGAGTGAGAGAGGAGACAAGGAGGCAAACACAAGGAGAGGGGTAGCAGAAATAACACCTCCCAGCCCGACCAATGGCTCCCAACAGGAGACCCTAGCGTGGTCTGAAGCTGTGCAGGAGCACACTGAACTTCTGCCTAATGCCTCTCAGATGGGGGCAAACTGCTCCACTGCAGCTCTTCCAAGTCTGATCTTACTGAACTGAGTACGACCTTGGCCCCAGAGCAGTCTGATAACAAAGAGCTGACATTTGTTGTTAGTGTTTGCACCCATGTTTTGTCAAGCAGAGATGCTGAGCAGGGCACAGGAAGCAAGAGATGTGTGCTGACAAGACCCTCCAATTATCCAAAGTGCGGGAGAGAAAAGTGCGTTTATTGTCTGATCCGTGAAGGGAGCAAAGTGCATTGGCTGCTCTTCACATTTCAGCAACGGGTGTTCACAAGCTCCTGCTCAGCTCAAGCCCTTGTACAACACACACAGCTTTTGCAGTCAGGCTTCTGCAAAGAAACATGCATAATTTTTAAATAGTAAACTTTTAAAACAGGTTTTTGGTGGGATTTATTGTTTCTTTATTATTCCTTGAATCCAACTCCTTCCTAAAGTGCTAGTTTAGGAATATACAAAATCCACCCGCATCTCCCTTCTCTATGGGTAAGTCAGTCCTGGTGAAAAGATATTCAGAAAACAGACTGCTTAGAAAAACTGTTCGCATATAGGGACACTTAGCTTGAACTCCTGCCCTTGTTAGAAACAGTTAGAGGGACTACAACCAGATGTAATCACTTTGTTAATTAACATGTTCAAGTTCTGTGTTTCAGTTTCTCTTGCGTTAGCCAGTTCTGTTTCCTTTGTTCTCACATCAAAGATGCTCAGAACTCAACAAGCAGCAATAGACCCAGTCTGCAACTGTAAAATTGGTGCTATACAAGTTGCTGTCAAATGCACTTTTTATCTAACCTCTGTAAGCTTCAGGTACTTTATGTTACTTAGAAAAATACCGAATAACTTTTGAGGTGAAAAACACATTACTTCAGTTGATACCATCTCCTCTACAGCTCACTGCCCAGGTCACAGCTGGATCACAGCTGGCTGAGACATGTGAAGGGCCCCCGCGCCGGCAGGCTGGCACTGCCGCCCCTCCGGAGGAAGGGAGGCCCAGCACTGTTATCCTCTGACTTGAGTGATGGAAAAAACCCCAAAACCTCCAACCCGCACCACACACCCTTTCAGGAACAACCCTGCCACTCTAACCCATCGAATACCCAGCAGAAAGACCAAGCTGGCTCAGCGGGAGCCAGGCAGCAAGGCACCCACCCATGTGCTGGCAGGCAGAGCCGGCCAGGCTGGCCCCGCAGCCCTTCCCGCTGGCCCCCGAGGGCAGGTCCTGGGCCCTGGGCTCCCGGGGGCCAGCAGTGCCAGGCCTGGGGGACAGGGTCCCTGCTGAGCAGCCCCTTGGGCCCCTCCAGTGCTCCCCCAGGCAGCCCAGCTGCCTGCCCCGGCAGCGCCAGGCAGGCCACACCGTGCCACCGGCGAGGCTCGCAGGAGGACGCAAGCAGCGGAGCAAAGAGCAGGAGGGAGCAAGAGCTCACCAGCCCCAGGGCCCCACAGGAACGCCATCACCACCATTTCTGCTCCTGCCGAAATGCAACAGGTGACATCCCTCGCAATTAACCCTGAGCGCTCTGCCTCCACATCACCCTGCTGAAGACTTCTTCCAAGCCTGGAGAACGTAAGCATGCATTAACTTGTCAGAAAACTCACGGGGAAAGAAAACAGAGCAATACAAACAGGAAACTTGTTGCATCATCTGCTGGGCTCCTGCAGGCAAGGAGGATCCCCGCCACCTCTCGAAGAGGAGCTGTGCCTGTGCAGCGCTGCTTCACGATGGCAGCGTGCCCTCGGTGGGGCAACAGGGGAAGGGAGCCGACCTGGGGAGGCTGAGGCAGCCCTGTCCCGCAGGATGGGGCTGAGCAGCCCCAACTCGCCGAGTTCTCCGCTTGGCTAAGAGGTCAGGAATGTGCAGGATGGAGGACACAGCACCCAGCACTGGGCACCCAGCACCCCAGGCATGAGGAACGGTCCCCCTCACGGAGCTGGGGGGAGACACTCCTCAAGCACGGGCTACAAACAGATGGACTCGATGGAGTGGCACCCTGTAAGGAAGGCGTCCCCCAGCCCACCCCTCCAAGCACGGGTGATCTACCCGCTGCCCAGCAGTCAGTATGGGGTTACTGCTACCCCAGGACAGGCCTTTGGCAAACGGCGAAGCCGCCTGCCCCACCGGTGGGTGTGCAGGGCTGTCCCTGCTCCCCCACGGCCCCGCGGAGCCCAGAGCAAATCCCACCATGGAGCTGGCGTGTAGCCGGCAGCAAGGAACGCGGCTGCACGGGAACCACACCTCTCTCCTACCCCAGGCTCCCTGCCTCCCACTCTCCTCCCTTTCCTCCCCACCCATACACTCAGTCTTGCCAGTTTGGGCAGATTTTCAGGAATCTAAGTTCAGACGCACTGTACATTTTGGCAAAATCAAGTCTTTGGTGTTCAGCTGTTAAAAGACCTGGCTAGTCATTACAAGCATCAGGAGCTGTTTTCTAGGCAGACACAAAGGCAATGAGATTTCTGAGTAATTAAAAAAACTACTGAGGGGAAAAGATCTCTGACCCATTTGCCAAGATTCCCCCTGGTCTGGTACCCTGGGCTCTGCCATACCGCCACCTCCAGCCGGGCGGTACGCCGAACCCCCGGGCTCCCCGCGAACCTGAGAAACGGCCCGGGACATCCCCTGGGCATTTAACTTACACGTGGGCTGGAAGCACCCCTGACTTTGCTTGTTTGTTTTAAAGAGGAGTGAAGCGACAAGGAAGGAAGAGAATACGTCCATGGCCGTTTACTGGAGAAAGAACATGATTGAAAGGGAAACTGGGTGAAGCCTATAAATAACCACAGCTGTCTCAAAGAGAGAACTGGGTACCTCACCATCACAAAACTCAAAACCATCAGTGAAACTACATGTCAAATTCATCACTAATAACAGGAAATACTTTCCCACGCAACTCCGAATCCATCTGTGGAACTGAACGCTGCAGGATGCTGTAGCAAAAGGCAAAGCGATCAGATCCCTAAGGGGACTATGGCAACATCCCAAGATAAACTGGTGTTAACGCCTCCCAAAAGATGAGAGTGGTTCTCCTTTTCAGGGTGCAGTTTGAGACTCTAACTACTAGGGCTTTAGGGAGTGCACTCCTAGGATGGAGCTGCCACAGCTGCCTTCATCAAGGCTTTACACCCTGAAGCAAGTGTCTCATTAGGGAAATTGTCTATCTGGAGAAACACAGAGCCCGAGACCGCCCGAGTCTGCACGCTGCCCACGTCTCGGAACCCAACTTTCTCCGCTGCACCGAGAAGCGCTTCTGCACAGTCGGCTTCGTGCCTGCAGGTGGGACAGGCTGGGTTCCGGAGAGGTCACGGCGAAGTGACAGCCTCGCGTACCACACGCTGCTCCAGAGCCCTGCCGTGCGCCCAGGAGCCACCCTCCTTCCCGGACATCCAGGCAAGAAAACCACTGCCCTGCGTGCCACGGCCCCGCGGGTTTGGGCGCCAGGACGTCCTGGCAGGGCAGGGTGGCACCCACCGCAGCCGGGGCCGCAGGGTGGGAAGGACACCGCCCGCGGCACCCAGGCACAGCGCCCGCCGGCTGGCTCGCCGCACAGCAGGCCGCAGGAGGAACCGTGTGGAAGCCGTGCTTAGGGCAAGACAACTGCAGACAGCAGGCACTCCCCACGGCCTGCAGCGGGCACTGCCGGCCCCAGGGGCAGAGCAGAGCTCCTTGTAAACAGAGAGGAAGGCAGAGGAACCACAGGAAAGGCAGCCTCCTCTCTGTGCCCCCTAGGAGAGAGCGACCCACATTCACTAGCATTATTACACCACCACCGTAATTGGATTAAGCCACAGGAAGACTCTTTTATCTTGTTTAGCTTAAACTGCGTTAGCACTGAAGCTCCCTATTAAACCGCAGACAGGCTATCTGGGGTGAGCGCTCTCTCTGCCCAGTCATTTAGGCAGAATGCAATTCTGTTATCACAACTCTCACATTGTCCTGTGCTCCTTTATCAGGGCAAGCAGCTAATTACACAGCCTGGCTCACACAGGTAATGAGCACTCAGAAAAATGCAGTAAATGCAAAAACCTTCCAGGTCTTTAAGGAGCCTTTTCACAATTCCCTCCCTCGTGTCCTTACTTCAGCCCGATCCATCTTCCTCCTTCTCACACTGAACAGGGTATGCAGTGATCCAGAGCTGAAAAGGTGCGAGCAAAGTCTCAAGTCAACTGGTTTCCACTCCCAGCCATGCAAGCTGTGCGACTATGGAAACCCAAGGTGTGATGTAGCACCGTGGGAGCAGGATACATAGAAAAGTGAGCAGATGGACTATGGGCCAAATCTCCCCATATGGAGCTCTGCAAGATCAGTATTTTATGCTATTTCAGTGTTTGGGACACTAATCTATGGGGAGAAAAATGATGCTGTTGGTTACACAGCAACTAGTCCAAGGAACAAGCAGCTGTTAAACAGTGACCTCCCCCTTTAACCATTCACATATTAATCTCTGCTGCGCACAGCTGCCTTTTCCTGCTGCCCAGCCTCCTGCCAAAGACTAGTTTAGAGGTTTGCATTCTGTCCGTCAAAATCATCCTTGCAATTTCAGCTGGATGTGAAACCCTTTGCTTCCCATTCTGGTGCTTCTCATCATCATTGTGCAGTGCTGATATGTGGGATTAAACAGCTGATGCGGGATCCATTTATTCAGAGATATAATTTGTGCAATACTTAGGACTCCTTCAGGATGAATGTTAGTAGGATTATTAAATTTGCATGCCACAGTGGCCAGCTGTTCCTGAAAACCCCTCCTCCAGGTAATTATGCTCCTCTGGAGTGGCACAAATGAAGTAGCACGATTGCACCCACAAACCTCCACTGAGGGAAAGTGCTAAGTGCTGTGGGCTGAGAAGTGGGCAGCTGGATAGCAAATTACTTCTTAAAACACACATTTGAAGGCAAGCCCTCTCTGGAAAAGATGCTGTTCCCAGCAAAGCAAAGCCTCATTAGCGCAGAACCAAAGCGTTAGCAACGGCAGCTGAAACAGCTCTACTTACTACATCATAACCTGTCGGTGCTCGGTTCCGGGACGCAACCACACCAACACCCGTGATGGGATCCATCGGCAAGTCGGGCAAGGCATCTGAGAGGTCTCGCACCTCAGGCATTATGGACTGATCCTGAAAAAAAGGAGCAGAGTTAGAGGGCTGCTCGGCAACACACCCCAGCAGAAGACAGAGAGCACTGAGAGCCTGCATGCATGCCACAGTGCTTGTGCTGACACACCACAGACCGCCAAGGTAAACACAGGATTAGGCCAGACACACCTTCTGCACTTTCATTTGCTTTTGATAAGAGGGTACATTTGTGCAATGCCCAATAGGTTTGGAATTCGGGCCAGAAGTCTTTTCTGAGATTAATTTTGTTGTTTCCATAATACTTAGCATGGGCTGGTCTCCATCTAGCAATGATGGGAAAACCCAAGCTTGCTCTCTTCCCTCCCAGAGAGCAAATTTCATCCCTGAGTCAGACTGGCTGAAGCAGCTCTGCCATTTTAAGCAGCAATAAATCTGCTCCTAATGGCTTCACTGGGAGGTTCACCATCCACTATGGGTGTTAGGACCTGCTGGGGGTTCCCCCACGAGTCTTCAGTTCCACTGCACCCTCCTGAACTAAACCACTTTCACATAGCAGCACAGATGTATCTGGCGCTGTATGCAAAACCACGCTTGCTGCAGAGAGCCTCAACACCAGGGGAACACAGACGAAGCAGCACAGGATGGTCTGATGCAAAGCAGACAGAGGCCTTGAAGAGGCCTGAGCATCTTCCAGAAGGGAGACATCACCAAGTAGTTCAAGGGAGGAAGATAGGCAAAAGGGGGTAGAAGCAGGTAAGACCAACCAATTTTGGAGAGATGCTGTTGCAGGAAGCAGGAGAGGACAAGTGAGCTGCTGAAATAACTCGCTGAGGAGGAGGATGGGGAAAGGTGCCACTGCCTCAGCACGTGGTCTCCTGCAGAGGCAGCCAGTTAGGACAAGTCTTCTCTGGCTTTCAGGCAGGAATGCCCCAGGAAACCACCCCCCACGCACCCCGAGATAAAAGGGCAGCGCTTTGTGTAAACAAGCGTCACTGCTGCGCAGCCAGACAAGCCGTGAACCAGAGCTACCTAATTCAATTCCCTCCTCAGAGCAATTAAACCCCAGCATTTCTAGGCCATTGTAGACAGCTGGTTACTTACTGCTTCTAGAAAAGTCAGAGGTGAGTGCTGGTGCCAGTGGGACCTGGGTTTACACTTCACAATGCCCAGTCTGAACAAACATCGTGCTGCAGGCAATAAAAAAGAGCAAGTCTGGGCCCTATGTAAAATAACAATAATGTCACACGAACAGCCAGACCACCGGAGGAGTCCAAAACAACAGAAGCTAGTGACCAGTGATGGTGAAACACTATTGCTGAGGAACCAAACCCAGGGGAGAGCTCTGCTTCCGCACCTAGGCAAGCACCCAGCACGCACAGAGCGAAGCGGACCCGCTCTGCTCCCTACACAGTTTAAGCCTCCAAAGCACAACTAGAAGCGCACCCGGCGCCGTAGGGGCTCGCCCTCCCCTCCCGACGGGCTCCCTGTCCTCAGGGCGGGCGAGGAGCGGAGGTCCCTGTCACAGGAACACCGGCGGCACCCGGCACAGCCCAGACAAACACTGCACCTCATCCAGATGCCTCACAAATAATTCAGAACCCGCCGCCTACAATGTGCAGCACTGAGCAAACATAATGTGAATTTAACGAAGAACTTACAATCTGTTCTTCATACAGATGCACGTTTTCTGAAACTTTTCCAAGTCACTCTCAATAATGTGATGACTTGTTATTACACATCGGGAGGAGCTGGGAGATGATGAATGCTGATACGAGCTTCTCTTAGGCCATTTTGCACTGAAATCCAGGTAAGCGGCAGTATTGCCCAGCACGCTAAGAACACCGCACGGCAGGTTCCAGCACAGCAGCAGCTGCACGGTGGGGGAGCAGATCTGCTCCCCCAGCCTCCACCAAACCCACCCTGACGAAGGGCTGGCCTGCTCCGCATTGGCGGCGGGAGCAGGGGTGGCCAGGACAGCACCGACACCTCACCTCCAGGGGGAAGCCGAGGGGCTGTGCCCCCTCCCAGCCCTGGGAGAGCCCGGGCGGGCAGGGAGCCCCCTGCTCTGCCTCCTCCTGCGCAGCGGTGATGGCAGGGCTGTGGCTAATGCGGGCCAGGGACCTGCTGCCGAACGCTGCCCGGGCCCCGGCTGCCCTCGCTGGGGCCTGCTGCAGGGAGGCCCCCCTGCCCCGGCAGGAACCCCAGCGGCAGCAGAGGCCGAGGATGGGGCCCTGGGGGTGCCCAGCGCCACCACGGGAGGGGGGCGGGTGCCACAGGGCGCAGCCCTCGGCCGGACAGCACCCTGACCTCGGCGGGAGGAAGAAGGGCACCTTTGTCGGAGCCATTTGCGGTCCCGCTCGGCGCGGCAGGGGGAGGGGAAACGGCCTCAATCCTCACTTTGTGCCGGCTCACACAAAGCCCCTCTATGGCGGCGGCTGAGCACGGAGAACAGGGCTCTCCGCCTGGAGAGGGCGGGAGGAGGAAGCCACGGCGTGAGACGCGATGCGGCACCGGCGCAGGGCGCGGAGCAGCACCCCACGGCCGCGAGGGCCGAGCCGAGCCCCCCGCGCCCCGTCAGCCTGGCACCCTCCTCCGCCCGGCCCGCGGGGACGGGCGGGCAAAGCATCCGCCCCGAGAGCGACGGGCAGAGCGGGGCAGCCTGCTCCGCAGCCGCGGCTCGAAGGCGGCCGGGCCCCGCGCGCGGCCACCGCGGCACGACAAGGCTCCGGCGTGCCAGGGCGGCTTCCCGCCGGGCGGGTGGCACCGAGGGTGCATCTGGAGCAGATACGGAGCAGCAGCAACCGGTTTGTGCACTCGGATAAATGTTTTTGTGAACTCTGCGCAGGTCAGAGGGGAGTCTCTGGCTGGGCAATCACACAGACGATTAGTTACATTGGACTTCTCCCTTGGGGCGCCTGCAAAGTTTGGTTTCTTTTCTATCGCACCTTTGAACTTAAAAATAAAAAACAAACAGTGAAAGAACAGATTAAATTAAGGAGCAGGATTCTATAGATATTCCAATTAGATAGCTTGTTATTTTAATTAAATGCTCTTTAAACAACGTGAGTTTTGACCTATATGCCCGCCTAACATCACGGTGGCCGAGTACTCAAAGCAGCTGACCAGGAGATGGCCTTTCACCATCCCGCATTAAGCTGCATTTGCCAAGCTCTGCCGAAGAGCCTCCACTGCTCCGGGGTTATTCTGGGAACAGCCCAAAACAATTAGAAGAACATTCTTCCCATTAGTTGGGAGCATGTTCCCTGGAGGTTGTTCTCAACTGCAGGGCCACATCCAGCCCCCAGCACGCCCCGGCAGCGCAGGGAAGCCAGATGCAAGCCCTGAGACAGGAAGAAGTTTCAAAACACCATGGGGCTGCTCGGACAGAGCCAGTGGGGAAAGGATGTGCCTCCACCAGAGAAAATCACGGCGCATCCTGCCGGCACCAGCGCCGAGCAGTGTGCAGCAGCTGCAGGACAAGATGCAGAGAATGGCTCTTGGCCACGCTGCTGCCTTTATCCCGAATGCTTCCTGCCCCTCAAACCGGCCGTGCTGCGAGGCAGGAGGTGCGGGGGTCCCGGGGATCTCGATGCCCAGCAGAGACGGGGCCGCAGCGACCGGTGCTGGCGTGCCCTGCAGCAGGCAGGCTCCAGGCAGAACCACCAACCAGGCTTCCAGAAGTCTTTGCACCGGCCAGTTTGAGGCCAGGGGGCTGATGGCCTTTTACACAAGCCAGAGCAAGTGGCACTCCGTCCTGCCAGCCCCAACCCCAGAGGCTGCCAGCCTGCAGGGCGAGCCACCAGGTACGGGCAGGGGAGGAGAGCAGCGGAAGCGTGGGCAGCAGGCAGTGACACGCAGTCAGAAAGCCGCACACCTACAGCCCAGCCAGGGTCTCTGATCTGTCACCACACAGCGCTCCCCGGTGCTCTGCCCTGCGTCCTCCCGCTGTGAAGCGCCTGCTGCCAGCACGCACCCGGGGTCTCCTCCGCAGGAGACACGCGACACAGGGCCCCGGCAGCTGCCTCAGCACCCCGAGCCTCGCAGCCTGCGGGGACTGCAAAGCCGAGGGCAGCTCATCACCCAGAGAGCTCTCTGGCAGCCCACGCCTGCAGCCACATACGCCTCCCCTTCTCCCCACACCCCACAGATTCTCTGTCTACATCCTTTTCACTCGCTGTCACCCATTTTCTTGCTAGCTCATCTCTGCTTTTATTAGTTTATCCTAGGCATACTTTTCTGCTGGCTTCACTGTCCATTGCAAGTATTCCACTGAGGTGACTGACCACACACACTGCTGGGCTTTGGCTGGGACACATGTATGGCAAAGGAATGCGTTTTCAGGAATGAATGTACTACTGTGAGTTTGTAGAGCGTTCTTCCCTCTCGATGTGGTGTTCCTTTTCAACAAGTTAGACAAGTTCAAGAGCTGGTGGGTACATGATCAGATCAGGCCCGATGATGCATTTGCTAGGGAACCACCACACTGCCAGCAAAGCAGGTGAAGTTCCGAAGTTAAATAGCAAGGGACTTGCAGAGAGAATGGTCTTATTGTTTCTTCCTTCAACTACAAGCCCTGCACTTTGACACCGACTTGCTCTTCCCACAGGCAGGAAAGTATGAGCTAAGGCAAAACTGGAAAAAAATTATCAACTACCTCACTGAATTCCTGCACCCTGCGGGAAATAATCCCATCAAACCAAAGCAGACATGCTGCTAAAACCCTCGCTCACATGTTCGAGTTTTCGCTCCATCGTTTTGAAAAGGTGGTAGGTACTGCTGGCACAACATGGTTGCTTACAAGTTACACTGACATACTCCTCTGCACGCCTGGTCCTCCCACCGCATCCGGGAACAGGACACAGCCCCGGCCAATCTTCTATTTCTGTCCATGGAATAGGACATAGTTTCAATGAGAAAAACAGGAGACCATGGCAGAACACAGGGTCAGGGCCCTGGAGGCCTCCATCACAAGCAGGCAGAAATTCAGTTTCACATTTCGCCCCAAACAAAGGTATGTCTGGAATCATCCCTGCACCCAGGCTCCCATCTTCGAGACAGCTGCCCCGTATCAGCTGCAAAATCTCTAGTTTGTGACTGAACCAGATAGAAACAGGAACTTAAGTCACTGAATGACCAAAACTGAGATTTTGTGCTGCTTCACAGCACTTCTAACTCTGAACACACATTTGTGAAGTGTCTTATTTCAAACCAAAATAGGTTTCCATACACAGATGGCCTTGCACCAGGGCAGCAAAATTTAAATGACATTCAGTTCAGTTATTTCTATCTTGGCACATGTATGAACAAGTCCCTGTGGGCTAAAGGAACCCCTGAGCCTGGGATTCATTTTGTCAGAGCAGCACACACTACGGGAGTGAAACACTGCGCATTTTATTTCACACCTCCAGAAGCTCAAACAAAGCCTTTGTCCCAGTACGCTGAGAAAATCTAGCGGGTAAGGCTATCTCAGCTAAAAATTACAGGGATGACACTGCCAACCTGCCACGCAACGCGCAGGCTCCACTAAGGTATACGCTAGCATGTTCCCAGTTAAAATAAAACACAAGATGGAGAAACCCGAGTTGTAGCCCAAGCAGCTGGACACCTGCTGAAGCCCAGGCTGTCTCGTTTCAGCTGAAGGGCTCTGCTGGCGCTACCACGACCAAGCTGTGAATGCTCCAGCTCAGAAAATTCTGAAGCTCGGTGGACCTTCAAGAACCTCTCCAGAGACCGCAGTGAGAGCTCGGGAAGCTCGTTAAGGCGAGAGGCGAGTATGTAAAGCACAGGCCGCTCAGTATCACTGCTGTAAGGGGAGCTCACGTTATCTCCTCCAGACCGGCAGCAACCCGAGAGCAGGTGAGAAAAACGGGTGGCGAAGCAAACCCACGCCACCCGCGTCAAAAGACCACGCCAAGCGCAGCCTGTCATTCTCGCTAACCGGCCACCAACAATTTGCGGTCAGCTCCCGAGCAGGTCAAGGTCGCCCGGGCGGCCCCCCCCCCCCCCGCCAGCAGCCGGCCGGGAGCCGGGCGGCCGCCGAGCCCCCCGCCCGCCCCCGCGCTCCGGGGGCCCGGGCGGGCTCGGCCCCGGCCTCGGCAGCGGCGGCGGGGCCGGGCCCCGCTCTCGGCCGCGCCGCCCCGCAGGAGCCCCGAGCGCCGGCCGGGCCCGGCCCCCCCCCCCCGCCCGGGCCGCGCCGGGCCCGGGGACACTTAACTGTTGCCCGTGCGGCGGTCGGCGGGTCGCGGCTCCCCCGGCGCAGGCAGAAGCAGCTCCTCATCGCCCGGCGCGGCGCGGCCCGGCGGGAGGAGCGGCGGCGGCGGGGGAGCGGCCTGCGGGCCCGGGCGGAGCGGCGCGGCGCGGGGCGGGGAGCGGAGCGGAGCGGAGCGGCGGGCAGGCCGCGGCGCGGAGCCTCCGCCGGCGGGGCCGGGGCCGCAGCGGCGCAGCTCGGGCTCCCCCCGCCGCCCCCGCTCCGCGCAGGGCCCGGAGCCCGCCCCGCACGGCGGCCCCGGCCCGGCCCGGCCCGGCCCGGCGCACTCACCGCGGCGGCCGCGCAGCGCTGCCTCCCGCCGCCGGGGCACGGCCCGCAGCCGAACCGGCCCCCGGCCCGGCCCCACCCCCGGCGGGCGCGCCCCGGGGCTCCGCGGCTCCCCCCGGGCAGCTCGGCCCGGCCGCCCCCGCCCGCCGCGGGTCGCGGCCAACACCGGGCCCGGGGAGCGGAGGCCGGCTCCCGCCCGCCCCACGGCACAGGAAAAAAAAAAAAAAAACAAAACAACCCAAAAAACCCCACTAAACTTCCTAGAGAAAACGAGTGGAAACGTCCCACCCGCTTCTCCCGGCTGGGGGTCTGCCCCAGCCCTGCGGTCCTTGAGCCTTGGGGAGGTGGGCAAGGCCTGGTGGAAAAAGAGCTGGATAATTGGAATTTGGTCAATGTAACCTCAGCCTTCCGCCTGAAACACAGGACATCTCGGAGACAGGCAGCAGCTGCTGCGGACTGAAGACGGGCAAATTGTGTCAAACCAAGCCAGTTTTCTCGAGTCCCTGCAGTTAGGGGTTAAGCAGTTTTGGGAGCTACCTTGACTTCAGTAAGGTATTTGACGTTTTCTCTCACCATAGCCCGAAAAACAAACTAAACAGATACAGTCCAGAGAGGCCGGGGTTTGCCAGGCGGGTTAGGTGACCAGAAGCTGTTAGAAGCCCACTCGCAGCATCCTCAGCGAGGCACCCGGAGCTGGGGGGCTGCGGAGGCCTGGTGCTGCTCAATATTACCCTGTGCCAGGGATGAAATTGAGAGCACACTTACGAAATTGGCCGATGATGCAAATCGCAGCATAACCTGGAACAGTAGTATGGCCCGTGGCCATAATCGTATGAACTGATCCTGCAGCTGTCCTGCATTTGGTTTTGAGCACCTTACCTCAAGGAAGGTCATCAATAGTAGTCTGGAGAGCAGCAAGATCCGTGTAGGGGTTGACATCAATGCCCTCTGATGCAAGACTGAAAGAGTCAGAGCTACTAATCTAAAGAAAAAGAAAAAAATCCTGGGTTGAATAATGAAATAAAGGTGGGAGGAGTACATGTTAATTTGTAGGTGAATTAAAGAGAAGGGCAGTGACCTGTTCTCCCATCCTTTGTGGTAGACTAAGAAGTGATAGATGTGAAATGCAGCAAGAGATTCTGCAAAGATAAGGTGAAAAACTTGACAATAGCAAAGACAATGAAACACAGCTTTGAGAGGCTTTATCAGTGGTCAAATTGAAAGTCCACCTAAAAGTACTTATCAGACATTACTCAGCTGTTCCCTTGGGGCAGGGACCAGGCAAGATGGTCTCATGTCCTTTCTAGAGCTGATTTCCTCTCTTTTCCATGACATGCTGCCTGCTCAGAGCCACAGTTTCCTTTGTCTTGGAAATGTGGCCTCTGTGGCTTATGAGAAAGACCTCACTCAGACCATGTCACCCAAATTTCCTCCCACTTGTGCTCTTTTGCCCTGACAAAATCAGGTACCTGAAGGGGTGCCACATCTAATGGGGGAGGTCCATCTCTGTTGTTGCAGGGTGATTCTTTGTCTGAATTCTGCTTTTAACTACACCACTAATTCCCTGTTCTCTCCCCCGCTCCCATTTTCCTTTTGCTCAGATTTGGTCATCTTTTGAGGAGCTTTGTTCAACCTGTTCTTTTCCCACCTGGGTAAGTGCTTCTTCCATCCTATTTGGACTCTCTAGGTACATCCCTTTAGCTGGGCTGAACAGAGCAGGAGCAGTTGGGCAAACAGCCCTTCTTTTTCCTTCCGTGGGTGTCTCCAGGCAATTTTTGTACCTACCTGGCTCTCGAGGTAGGTGGGAGCTCAGCTGCCCGAGAGTTTCCCACAGGCCCAGCCGTGGCTGGTCTGTCGTGGCTGAGGAGCAGGGGAGTTCTTGGGTTTGATCCTCAGGGTTGTTCCAGCTCTTTGCTCTTCATCCTGGTGCGGTCAGACTTGCTACCAAGAGAAACACTCTGAGCTTTGCTTAGTGAGTGTTTGAGAGGCTTGTCTGGAGAGCAACATACACATTAGTGTTTTTGTATTCCTGCCCATAAAGCAAACAAAGTGCTCTGCAACAGCAGAATCCTGGTGTCCCACTTCCTCCTGGATACAACCCTGGACTGGGACCAAACCTTTCTCCTGTCCTGGCTGGTGCTTCTTTCCAGAAAAGCATTTTAGACTGGTGCTTGCTGAACTATGGTAATAACTGGATATTTTTAACTACAGCTCTATTCCCAAACTGTTTGGCCAAGGCTTTCTGGCTTCTACTGCATACAGCCCTGATGGCTGGTACTGGCTTCTGGGTCCAAAGATTAAAAATATATATATTTTTTGAGTGATAAGGAATACAATGCCTTTTTTTTTTTTTTTTTTTTTTTTTTTTTTGATTTGGAGAGTAATTTAGAGAGAAGGAAAGATGATGCCTGGTGGAAATGAGAAATATATGTCCCATACATAATATATGCCCCAAATGCCCTATTACAAATACAACAAGATTTCCTGAACTGGAGAAGTTGTTACACATTACAGTGTGCTAATGCTCCCCCACGGAGATGCTGATACTGAGAGAGTCTTTAGTGTAATAATATTAAAAATCCTAGAGTTTCAATAAGATCCTCCCTGTTACCACAGCGGTAGGAAATGAATTGATTCCAGAGGAAGACTCTAATTGCTGCTTAGTATCCACGAAATATTCTAAGATTCACTGCAAACATATATCCCAACGTGTCTGTGGCATGATCTGCAATAACATTTTCTCCAGAGGGACAGTCACTTTCCGGCACGGTTTAGCTGCTGCTTCAGTTCTACCCTGGGAGACGCGGCCCGCGGAGCGGAGGGCCCAGCTGCGGCCGGGCAGGGCGGCACCGCTCGGGCCGAGCTCCGGGTGCTTCTGCTCCAGAGACCTTCAGACCTGGGCCAGGGGCTGGGGAAAGGCCCCGTCGTGCTCTTCCACAGAGCAGAAGCACAGGCTCTGAATCAGCAAATACTTGCACACTTGGCATTAGGTACACGAATAACTGTACTGGAGTTGGTTAATCTACCCGTGTAAAGTTACTCAAAAGCATAAGTATTTGCAAGTATAATGTTTTCCTCTGAATATTTTACATAAATCTTTTTAAAAATGCATTTATTTACTTCTGTTTATTCAGAGCATGTCTTTTCTCACGAGTTCTGCAGTCATGTACGTGCTGTCCAGTTCGTACCAGTGTCTCGTTTTCAGGATGCTGAATAGGAAGAATTTAAGACAGTCCCGGCTACGACGCTGGAGCTGTGGCTGAACAAGCACGGCTCACTCAGCCGTGAGTGGATGGACGCCAGAATTTGCATCCTCCAGAACATTGTTCCAAATGAAGGTGCGTGCTAGCCGGGTTTGTTGGCGGTGCAGGACGTGCTCCGTTTGCATCCCCCCGCTCCGTTCGACCGCAGCAGCACGGCTTCGCTGGGAGGGTGGCGATGGCTGGTGCCACTGCTGGGGCTGGACGCCGGGGACCGGCACCGCTTTGCACCTCACGGGGCTGCCGGCAGCATCCACGGCCACGGTGCCCGGGGAGCTGCTCCCGCAGCCGCTCCGGAGGAAGCCTGGCGAGCTCATCCCCTCCCGCGCTGGCCGTGGCGAGGTCCTGCCCGCAGCAGCTGCTGCTCTCCACGGCTGAGCTGGGGTGGACGGCGCCGTGGCTGTCCATGGAGGAGGGCAGAGCAACCCGAGAGCACCTCGGGGGAGCAGCTAAATCTGCTCCTCAGTGAGAGGCTGGGCTGAGAGAAGAGATTGCGGTTGAGCCCCACCAACCTTTTTGCATTTCAAACGTATTGTAACAGTAAAATCTGTCCATTCCTAGACAACACCTCAGAAGAGCAACACAGCACAGGTTTCTACACTTCCAGCAGAGAACAAGCAGAATATAGGGAGTCCTCATTCATTACAAACCAAATCTGTGCTGAACTGCAGCCTGCAACGCAGGGCTCCCAGCTCGCTGGGTGGGGCACGGCAGAGGTGCTGGGCGCCGCATGGGTGCTGGGACGGGGATGTGCAGCACTGCAGGCTGGTGCAGGGGTAACCAGCCCAGCTCCATTTCACAGGCTGCTCTGAGGGGAGCAGGAACTCCTGGCAAGTACTGGTCAGGCTTCACCACCAAAAAGGATCCCAGTTTGCAGCAGGAAACACTATGACAACCTGTAAAGCATCCTGATCCCGACTGTAAGCTCAAGCCCTTGCTTGTTTAAAATCCTTTATGCTGCAGGAATTCATATCTGTCTCTAGCCACATTTAGTATAGCAGTGAAATACTGCTGCATGTACCATTTTTTCCATGCTTGCCTTTAGAGAAAAATCAGCCCAGAATTTAATTTTGTGCTGGAACTGCTGCAGGTTAAGGCTCAGCTGCTGCCTGGTTTTAAGGTTTCTTGGAGGTAGGTTTAACCTGCTGCCTCTAACTTAGTGCACCAAAATGCCTCTTTATAGCCACAACTTCCCTCCTATATTTCCATTTTAAACTTTGATTATTCTAAAAGCATTGAGAAGGTCCCCCTATCTCCTTTAATTCAGATACCTCTAGGTGGGAAAGGTGTGTTTGTCCACGTGCATCGGTCCCCAATCGCGACAGCATCTTGAAGGACAGAACTGAGGGAGAACGAGGGAAATGCACGGCTGTGGGCCAAGCCCACCCTGAGAAGGGTCTGGGTGGTTTTTGTCTCCACCAACACCCAGGCAAGCTTTGCTAGAAACAGAGTTAGTGAACCTCCATCCTCTTGTCCTCAGCAACACTCAGGGCCTGGGGCACAGCCCTGCCCTAGCAGATCAACAGCAGTAGAGCTAAACCTCCATTTTTACAATAGTGGCAAGTTCTCCTCTAAAGCAAATAAGCCACTCTGTAGGTTTGCCTTTTTTTTCTTTTTTTCCAAGACCTGCAAACTCTGCAGTAGGCACCTGCTTTCTACTGGGACATGTCGGGGTTGCTTTTTAATAGAGATCCCAAAGCATTTCAGGCAGGGACACAATCCTGAGAAGAGATACAGGGATATTTCAGGAGCTCAGTGTAGTCAGAAACCCCCAGACCACCCACCAGACTTCGCAGCATTTTTGCATTTCATTTTACTTTGAGTTTAATCTTTTGTTCTCGTTCAACAAGGCTGTGTAGTATTTCCTGCAGGGAAAATAGCTCACTGTTTTACTACTGCAGTCCTCCTCAGTTTTGGCAGGCTGGCTGATGCTCCTCGGTGCGTGTTACGGCTGGCAGGCCAGGCTGCAGCCCAAGCAGAGCTCCTCACCGCCTGGACCAGGCACACCTCGGCTGAAAGCCCGGCGGCCCTCGCTCACCGCCGGGCTCTGCTTTTGGTTCCTTGCCACAGCAGCACTGACACTTCCTCCTGTCCCTCGCAGTTTGGTTTGGCCGTGACACTGAAGAAACATGCGACTTCGGCCAAGGTTGACACACCTCATTTCTGAATTTAAGCTGAAGAGGGAAATGGCACACAGCACCACCGCGTCCGGGGCTCGGGGGCAACGCGTGCAATTCTCCAGTGGCAGCCCTGAGGCGCGAGCCCGCGGCTGGCAGCACAGCTCCGGGGTGCCCACCCCCCGCCTCAGCCCCCTCCCGCCGCAGCGGCCGGCCGGCAGCTCCCTGAGCCAGCGCGCGGTGTGGCCCCAGGATGGGGCAGAAAGTGGCTTTTAGGAGTGCTGAGCGTCTGTGCGAGCGCGCGGCTTGCAGACACCGGCAGCCGGCGCAGGATTGCAGCGTGCACAGGACCCTCTGTGGCACAAAGCAGCAGCAGCGCTTGGACCACTATTTATATATTATGGATCATAATATTTAAGTGGCCTGGTTATAACCCTGTAACTAGTTTTCTTTGACAGAATGAGTATTGCTCAGCACATACTAACAGCTGTCTGTAAAACACATTTATGAATTGTTCATAAATTTCCTGACAGTGGCAAGCCCCGCGTTGGGGCCCCCACGCAGGCGGGTGCTGCCCATTCCCCTCCCGACCTGGGGGGCGAGCAGCCCAGGCTGGGCGCTGGGGACTGGGGGGGCCTGGGGCAGGGTCCCTCCCGCCTGTGCTGAGCGGCGCCCTGCCCGGGAAGGCTGGGAGCCAACCTGCCCCAGAGAGGCCTCATCTGCCCGGGGTAGCAGCACGGAGAATTAACAGCCCTGCTCGCTGGGTGGGGTGTCTGCATCGGTGCTTCTGGTGTCTGTCCGACCTGGCAGACAAGTTGTCCCAGGGGCAGGAGCATCACCTGGGACCCCGAGGCAGGGTGGGCCTCCAGCAGAACGGAGACGGCGGGCAGCTCACTCCCATGCTCCGTCCCTCGTGCTCGTGTTGCAGCTCCTGCCGCAGCTATCGCCCAGTCCCAAGGAGATGCCGCAGCTCATGCAGGAGCTGGCATTCAAAAAGAAAATGCTGTTTTTAGCATTATCAGCTCCTCACTTAGCCCTGTGTCAGCAAAGCACTGAAAACACATGTTCAGTCCCAAGCACATGCTTACCCAGCTCCTGAGGCAGAGGAGCGGCTGCAGGTCCGCGGGTCGGTGGCAGCCCCGAAGGAAGGAGCCTGCGTGGCTGCTTGGCACACTCCAACAGCCCCAGCGGGAGCCGTGGGGCCACCGCCGTGTCCCGGCTTTGGCAGAGAGGGCGAGTCCCGGGGGCTGCGGGGCTTGGACGGTGCCTGCACCCTCCCCGCGGGGGGTCGGAGCCCAGCGGGCACCGGGCAGGGGCGAGCGGGGTCCTGGGCTGCTCCTCCGGCTCCTCTCCCTGACGAGGGGATCAGACACCCCGGAACACACCTGCTGTGGGGGCAGGGGAGGCACTTACCTGCTTGCACCGGTCGGAGTCCTGCCGGCACATACAAGCGCATTTCCAGGACCTTGCACGGGAACCGGCTCTGGCTGGCAGCCGACTTCCTCCGACCCTGCCACACGCACGTTTAGGAAAACACGGCTCGCGAATGTATTCACTGCCTGGAGCATCACCCTCACGGGGCAGGGGTGGGCAATGCCTGGAAGATTACCAAAATAGCCTTTGCAGAAAATCGCTCTGAACTGTTGTTTCACGGATCCACTCTAACAGATAAAGCGATCTGGAAAAAGCACTAGGTTCTTGATTCGTTTCCCATTTACTTTCCTGTCCTGTAGTTGTTCCCAAATAGCACTGGTGCTGTATAGGTAAATCCTCCCGTTTGCATTCAGGTCCCCGTGTCAGTTAAGGTGTACAGAGCACCACCACGCACCACCGCCGGCAGCAGTGCTGCTGGGTTACATGGCACGCAGCGAGCGCTCCAGCCAGGGCCGGCCCCAGCCTCGCACCCCAGAAACAGGCTCAGGGCTCTCCCACCGGAGCAGGTGGCCCGGGAGGAGGGACCCTCACCAGCCCCCTCCCACGACAAGGGAGCCAGGGCCCAGGGCACCCCGCGACCTGCCCGGGCGGCGGGGAGCCGCTGGCACCATTGAACGGAGCAAGGCTGAAACCTGGATTCGTGAGCCCCATTTCAAGGCCCGGCAGCCAGGACCAGCCTTGTTTGTGCCGCAGAGACACTCCGGGCCTGAGGTACAACTGCTGTTCCACCCAAATGGAGGGCAGAAAAAACTCCATGTGGCTTAATTACCAAGGAGAGCCACACATCCAGATTCTCAGATTATGAGTAATAGCCACAGCAAGATGGAAACCTTTGCTTGAATAATTTTGAATGATGAACACATTTGAGGAAATAATGTTTTCTTTGCAGACCTCCTCCGATGAAACGCTGCTGCTCACATCGCTGTCTCGCTGGGGGTGGGCACTGTCCTGCCGTGCTGCCCCAGCCCGTGCCACCCGCTGCCGCCGGTGGGACGGAGGGATCCGGACCCGGCCGCGCACCGGCTGCCGCTTTGCCAGGCCTCCCCTGCGGATATGTGCAGGGAAAATCCACGGATGGTGGCTATCGGGGCTGCAGAGCTGCTGTCCCAGGAACACGCTGGCAGAAGTGGCATTCAGACAACCGGGTGTTTGCACGAAGGAATGCCAGCGTGTGTTAATAGGTGACCATTTGGCAGGCGGTGCCGGGAAGCCAGTCACACTTGAGCTGCCTTTGCAAGACCTCTAGGTGCAGCCCCTTCTCCAGTTAGCCATGCAGGACCCCCCAAAATACAGCTCTGGTCTTCAAATTCCCCAAAGGAGGGCCACAGCCAGCACATTTCTTTCCTCTTAAACCAAAATAAATAATTCACATTCTGGTTAAAGTGCTGCAGCCCGGGAATCGATGCCCCCACTGCGGCCCCAGGCTGTCCCCCTGCCCCCCGTCCCACCACTGCAGCACCTGCAGGAGTGCAGCAGCACCAGGTAACGCCGAGGGCCCCGTCCCCTCCTGCAAGAGCACGTCAGCTCCCTCCGTCGCAATTCCCAGGCCAGCTGGCAGCATTAGATGCTGCAGCTTGGCTCCTTGGCTACTGCAGCTTGTGCATATTAGCACCCCAGCGAGTTCCTCATCCGTCTGACAGGACTCAGTGTGGATAATGATGCCAAAGTCAGTCGTAACTGGACAATTACAGTATCACTGGGAGATCAGAAAAAATGCAATCCAAATATCCTTAATGAAGGGGCAGCAGGACCAGGGAGAGCCCCCACAGCCGTGCCTGGCTGTCCCCAAACACAGGGTCACCACCCCAAGGGCATCACAGCTCCCCTGGGCAAGGCAGGATCCAGCCAGGTGAATTATGCAGCTGAGGCTCAGGGCCAGAAACGGCGGTACAAGCTCAGAAATGGGGGCTCCATGGAAAAAACAAAACCCACCGTGTCCAGAGTTGAAGCAGAAGCCTGGACTCTGCTGGGTGGCTGTGAGTCCCATCGCGGTGCAGGCGCAGGCGGAGCCTCCTGCGCAGGCACCCACCGTCACGGCACGCTCAGCACCTGCTTAACGTCCTCCCAGCTTTACCAGTACTTGAAACATCACGTCTGTAGGATCCCTTTAGGAAAACACAATCCTTAACAATCTTTACAATCCTTACAAGGAGGGAGATAAAACCAAAACGAAGTGCATCAGCCAGTTCCCTCAGAAAGATTTCTGCATCGCTGGGAAGTACAACAGGATGGGTATTGTGTGATGACAGAATCTGCAGATCACCCAGCATCACTAATGAGAAGCCACTCTTTGAATACATAATTTGACATCCCATTTTATTTTCTTTCCAGCTTTGAGTTTACTCCTACGTAAATTTTAAGGTTTTTGTTCCACAATTACAGGCCCGCAGCTCCCTCAAAGTGCATCCTCAGAATGCAGACACTTCTGAAGGGGACCGCTCCCCTGCTGCCACAATCATCCATTTCTTGGTAACCAAAGGGAGATTGAACACAGAGTGGCTTTGCTTTCAGGGTCTATAATATGCCTCAACAACACGATAACGAGCTGACATTTGAAAGAGAAAAGCTCTCCCAGTTCCTTTCTAGCTGAGAGGATGCTTGTGCCAAGTGTAGCTTTCATATGGAAAGTTGTGCATTTTTTCAATGCAAATATTTTAAGAACAGTGTTTTAGAAGAGAGACAAAAAAATCTCACCTGAGTTTAACAGGAAGGCCCGCTCAGAGGGTTTCTTCTTTTTCTGTCAAAGATCTCATTGCAGGACGCTTTGCTCCCTCTGTCTCTTGGGTTCATTACAGGAACTTGTCTCACATTTCGTTTCTTGGCTGGTCCATTCTTCCTGCCCTGCCCTCCACGAGGGGAGGAACTGGTGCACCAGCCTCTGCACTGTGCTGGCCCAGATGCCCCCAACAGGCACCGACAAGCATCTTCCCAGGGCTCAGCTGGGCGGGGAGCAGGTCCCCCTGCCTGGGGGCAGCAACCGCCTGTGCAAATACGCGCAAGTACGTGTGGGGAGCTGGGGCAGGTCTGTGGGGACAAGGCAGGACCCAAGCCAAGCCAGGAAGCCAGTCTGCAGCTCTGGGGCTGGAGCCACAGCGTCTATGGGGCACAAGCCCCTTACAGCATAGCCTAGGCAGGGGCTGAGGGCCCAGAGCTCAGCTTAAATAGGCTCCTGGGCCGGTGGGCAGGGGGCCCAGATGGAGCTCCTCAGGGCTGTTAGGGAAATTAGCGCCCTAGGCTCTGGGAGGAGCTTCTTGGGAAATGCTGCCATCTCCTGCAGGTGTGATGAGCTGTGCCTGTTCTCAGCAGGCTGCTGGGTGTTGTTGTGACAGCCGGCTGAAGGAACCCCAGTTACAGCCATGCTCAGGGCACCCTGCCCGCCCTCTCCAGAGACTGGAGACCTTGACCCCGTGTCTGTAAAAACCACCTAAACCAATCATCGACAAAACCTTGTGAAGTCCCCGGGGTGTCCCGGCGGCCGGAATCCCGCTGCGCTCCGGCGGCGCCAGCTCGGGTCTGGGCAGCGACTGGAGCAGAGCTAGTGTGGCTGCAGCCAGGCTGGGGCTGCCCGAGCACCAGCTCCCCTGGGGATTTAACGGGGGACACGGCTGTGCAGCACGTCCCAGCGCTCCACGAGCCGCCGTCCCCGGGCAGCTCGCGTGCCTGGGCAGCAGGAGGAAGGGCTGAGAAATGCCTCGTCCTATCCTGCCCCATGTATTGCTGTTTTCATCTTAAAAGTGACAGTAAAACAGCATCCATATTACGGTGACATTAGCAGAATAGCTGCCACAGGGTTGCCTCCTGCTTTATGCTTTTCAGGCAGAGGCCAGCAGCAAGAGATCAAAAACTGGTTTTATGTTGCTTCAGAGCTGTGTCGGCTCAATGAGCCAACAAACCCTGCAGTGCCGGCGCGCGTCCTGCTAGCGCTGCTTAGCACTCGGAGCATTAAATTATTGACAGGATGCTGCTTGTGAACCTGCAGCACTCCTGACCCACATACTGGTCGTCACTAGACCTGGAAGACAGAAGTCTCCAAAATGTCAAATTCGCTGAAATATTCATGTTGTAAATACAGATGGTATGAAATCTCCAGCGAGGTTACAGCCTGCGTATTTACTTATGTCAGCTCCACTACTGAGAGCGAATGAGTCACAGCCACTTTATTAAATTCACACGCAATAGCAGGGAAGGCGACGCACGATGTTGAATGGGCTTTAGGTGACACAAGCTCCTTGCATACATTACTGCTTCCAAGAAAAAATGCTCCTCTCTTCTCTCTGCTCTGACACAATATTAACTCTGCGTTCTCCATCGCCCTGCTGGAAGCAAGTCAAAGCTGCAGCATTGTTTCTGCAACAGAAGGTGCAACAAGCAAATGGGCATTAATCCTGAATAATGGCTCCAGCAATGTCAGGGACGAGCCTCTCCTGCCTGTGAGGAATGCAAAATCCTGGGGAAGGCAGGCGCTCCTGGCGCAGCCTGGCAGGGTCCCTGGCCAAGGAGAGCTTCCGGAGCAGCGCCGCAGAACTGTCCCTCTGCGGGAGTGAAATTCAGCTCTGTCATGGGAGCAGAGCCTCTGCCCCAGGAGGAGCGATGTGCGGGACGCTCTCTGTGAAAGGGACCCTGCCCTCTGCCTTTCTGAGCCCCTTTTCGGAGAGCACCGGCACTCACCTCCCGGCCTCGAGCTCCACAAGCTGCTCAGCAGCACACGGAGCAGCAGTGCTTTCCCGGGGTAAACCTCCATCCCCCCCCCAAAACCTGTAGACACGCATCTCCCTCAGTGACCTGACTCCCACAATTAGCCAGAAACCTCCCGTTTAGGTAGAAGCACAATTTCCCCTAAACCCCACCATCAGCTGACAAAACGGGTGAGCAGATTTCACACTTTCTTGTTTGGAGCCTAGCCTGCAGCTTCCCTTCCTGCTGCCTGAGTATTTGGGCAGGAGAAACACTGGATCCAACCCGGCTCTGTTGCAGCGACGTGGCGTTGGGCCAGGCCCAGTTACCACGGGAGTTAGCACTGGTGTCACGGGACCAAACTCCCTCTTGCTCCGGGCAGAAATGCATTCGGCACCTGCCCCATGGTGCCTTAATTCTTTTTAAGGACTCCGTGGCATGGCCAGAGCAAGGATGGAGCTCCACAGCCTGGTGCACGCGGCGCAGAGGCGCTCACGCCTTCCCCCCACGGGGTCCCCAGCCCCGCGGTGCCATCCCGGTGCCGTCCACGCTCGCTCGAGAAGAAGCCGGGTTCATCGCGCCCAACCCCGTGGGGAGCTGGAGGAGTCGCCACTTCCCAGGAGACAGCTCCGATGGAAGCAACAGCCAGCCTCAAACTGGAGACTGCTCTGGCAAGGAGCTGGGCTCCTGCAAGGTGGGGGCACGCGGTAGCAGGGGCCGCACGCACCCGCTGAGAGGGACCTTCTGGCGGGTGGGCTGCCCCGTTGGCCCCCGCAGACACCCCGCAGGGTGGCCCTGCAGAGCCGGGACCCCGGCCCGAGGGGGCACGGGGGGCGCGGCAGCCGGGCAAGGAGCGGCGTGGAGCCCTCCCTCGCCTGCGAGCGGAGGGTACGAATGAGGCTCCAGCTGCCTGTGCCTCGCTGCCCTTGTGCAGTTGTCTGCCAGTTGTGTGTGCCGATTGCTATGAATGCCACCAT